TGTAATCTTGGTCTATGTGAATGACAGAGTGATGGAAGAAATTTGAGATGAGGTCTGATGAAATATAAATATGATCAATAATTGAAGGTGTAGGCTTTCTAAAGTAAATAGTTCATCCTTTAGAATAGTCGATGGTAAAAGCATTGTTGTATTAATTAAATTAATTCCTCTAGTTTATTAAAGAAGTTATTGGTGAATTTAATGCATTTAAATTTCTGAGAAGAATGATAGACGTCCATTCAATTTGCTGTTGAATGATATCATTGTAAATTGTCTTTCTGAGTATATCATTCGAAGCTAAGGTGTAAATTCCAAAGTTATAGAATCGTAAAAATTTATCGATTTTAATATGTAAATTATTATAAGATGGATATAAATTTAAAAAATTCTATTTATATTTTTTTTTATTTAATTAGTTGACTGAACACCCCAATACGTCATGCGTCGACAAGGTCAGCCATTTGAGGCATAATAATTATTCAACACAATGTGATTCATTCTATCAGTTCTACTAGAACGGTCCACCAATATGCTCAAGTTGTGTAACGCATCTATTAAACGATACAAAAAAAGGATTTATATTAGAGATTGTGTGACATTCTTGCTTCCGATTTTTGTATTTATTTTTTATTCGATAACTGCATTTTGGTTTTAAATTCGTTATCTACGGACCATAAAATTTTCTTAATAGGGAAATAATAAACATAAAATCAGCCAACAATTTGTTTTATGTTCTAAATAAATTGTCGCTATAACTTAAAATATCTATTCAACTTCCATATCTTCCATATGAAGAAGACAGTTTATTGTAATTACAAAGAATCTATATTGGTCAAACGAATCCTCATTTTTTTTTTTCAATTGAATATCTACTTTTGGCCTATTTTTTGTGAATCAGTCCGTTATAATTAGAAAACTTTACGGATTTTTATTTTTATTTTTTGGTAAAAAAAGTAAAAATTAAGTTCAAACATTTTATTTTGTACTCTTTAAACCAATTTTTTTTTTTTATAAACATTCCGGCGGATAAAAGGATTCTTTGTGCAAAAATATGAGTCATTGTTACATTTAATTAACCAGTTTAATCAATTTTATGACAAATAATAAATAAAATTTTTCATTATAAAAGAACCTCTGAAAACCCTTTCATCGGTTTATATAACAAAAGAAAATTTTCATCATAAAATAATAAAAGTAACCCTGCAAACCCTTCAAATTCATAAAATTTTCAAATTTGCGCGTCTTTTAAATAAATGACATACAAGTACAATAATAATAAACCTTCACAGAAGGTCAAAAATAAAAATGAAAGTAAAAAAATTAAAATTATATATGTACCAATCATTTTGGTTACATGTTCTGGAGAATTTCCAGCAAGTGGAGTAATATTCTCCGTAAAGAAATCCGGGACAGCTGGTCAAGAAGAATACAGCTGGCCAAGAAGAATATCCCGATACTGATGGGCAGCTGGTCAAGAAGAATATCCGGATCCTGCTGTCCAAGAGGAATATCCGGATACTGCTGTCCAAGAGGAATATCCTAGATTCCGCTGGGCAGAAGATGGTGCCCCCCCCCCCCCCGGCCAGCTGGAAAATTTAAGTTTCGAAAATATTTAATTCCCTGTTCCAAATAATTCCTTATTAACAACACTCCCCTAAAATTAAGTGAAGCGTTATTTAGAATATTCCTTTTTTTTTTTTGTAAAATTTTTATTTATTTTATTTAATTTGCTATGCGCAATTGATATCTGTTTTTTATAATTAATAAAACAATAAATTTTAAATTAATTTTAAACTTTGGAAATTCTGACGTTCATAATAATATTTTTTCATAATTTCTATTTACTTAACGAATAATCTTAAATATAACATTTAATTTCTTTTAAGTTCTGACAGAGATTTCTACAACTTGTTCATACTTTTTAAAGGTTCAGCTACATTCTTATGCCAAAGCCATTTTGAAAATGATTCAGAAGCAGTTCAGGAAGTCTTTAACAATGCGGAATTATATCCACTAATTGAGCATATTAATGAAGCTTAAATTCCGGCGTCTAATTATCCAGCGTTAGAATTTGATGCAAAAATGAACCTCAGTTGATCATCACTGCTATGGAAAAAGTTCCTCGTCGTAATCTCATCCTTGGTAAGAATCTTCCAAGTCACTAATGATGGAAAGGTTAATATTCTATCACGTTAAAAGTTTATATATCTTTTTAATTAAATATTTGCTGAGATTTTATATCTCTAGCAATGTTCTAGACCATGTCCCACTATGTCCCATGATTACTGGCTACAAGTAAGGTAGTTGCACGTTAGACAACCTTTTCTAATTAGATTTTTGATTTGATCCTTATTTACAGGTATTTCAAAAACCACTTGTAAAAGTTCAGTTCCTGTTTCTATAGTCGAAGAATTCAATAATTTCGTATGAACTATTTGTTATGTATTTGAACTTTTAAAGATGTCTTTATTATAGAGTAATAAAAAAAATTAGTTGCTATGTAAGAAAAGTTTTTTGTTTCCATTCGATGTTGCATTTCTCTAGGGCATTCAGTTAATCATCAGAAAAACCAGTTGATGATGAGAATCTAAGATCTATAAGAATAGAATTATGATAATTTTTTAACTTTTTATTC